TCTCATGTGTTTTCTTTTTTCAGAAGTAGCCTGGCACCCTCATGATTCCCTTTCTGGGTATAGCATTTTTGCTGGTGCCCTAAAGTTTCATAGGTATATAGGAATTGCATGGAAACACACACTTTTTCCTTTATAAACTCTACCGCTGCAGCCCCCTACACACACACACACACACACACACACACACACACACACACACACACACACGGTGTCACAGTAGACAGAGTGCTGGACTTCGATAGGCACTCTCAAATCCTGACTCTGACATCTGCATTTGTGTGATTATGGTCAAGTCCTTCAACCTCCCTGAAGTTTTGGTTTTCTCATCTGTAGAATGGGAAAACAAATAGATTTACCACCTCTCTTACAGAGTTATTGTAGGGCCCAAAAGAGATAATAGACATAAAGTGCTCTCCAAACCTGAAAACACTCTATATATGATGGTTATTAATGCTTCCCTCTTTGCCCTCCACGGATACTTTTGCCCACCCACCTCACTCCTACCTCTCTAATCACACAGAGCACTTATCCCTTGCTTTTGCTAACACCTACTTCCTTCCCTAGGGTCAGCTAGGTGGTGCAGTGGATAGAGCACTGGGCCTGGAGTTGGGAAGATCTGAGTTCAAATCAGGCCTCAGACACTTACAGCTGTGGGACTCTGGGCAAGTCACTTAACTCTTGTTTGCCTCAGTTCCTCATCTGTAAAATTGGGACACACTGGAGAAGGAAATGGCAAACCACTCCAGTATCTTTACTAAGAAAACCCATGGACAAAATCCACGAGGACAAAATCCATGGAGTTGGGCATGACTGAACAACTTTCTTCCCTGCTCAATTGGCATAATCTTCAAGAACCCAGGTCAGCCCTGCACCACAGTGAGGTATCTGAATAGGACTGTGGTTGAAGTTTCAAATCGTTACTGGACTTTTAACAAGAAACAATACTTTAAGTTAGGGGATCTTAAAGGCCTGAGATTCACAGATCATGAGCATTTAAGGATAAATTTTAGGGGGTGTATAAACTTGGATGGGGAAAAAAAATCATCTTTATTTTTACTAACATCTAACTGAAATGTATTATTTCCTTCAGTTATTTAAAAACAGTATTCTGAGGAGTCCATAGGTGTCAGTAGACTGCCAGGTGGGCTCATGATACACAGTCTTTCACACACACACACACACACACACACACACACACACACACACACACAGTTAAGAACCTCTGGTCTAAAGACCTTTGACTAAAGACCTATTCCAAAGCCTCATTGTGGCTCAGAGGTTACTCTGGACCCTGAAGGCTATTCCAATGTATCACAAGCTCAGGCAGGTCTGACAGGTTGGACTGGCTTCAGCTCTGGGCCTAGCCATGGCCTGCCCTCAAAGACCTAGCCTATAGCTTAGCATATCACCAGGAGTTTGGCCGTTAGGGATGTGTTTTCTTTGGCCACAGAAAGCCATGAAGATAACAATGCTGAGGCACCAGAGGGGTTGTAGTCTGTGTCAATGGACTGTAAGAATGTTGTGATTAGAGTCAAACAACCATGATTCTGATCCTTGCTTTACCACTTAGCACCTTCGTGACTGGACAAAACCTCTCTGAGCCTTGTTTTCCTTATCTGTTAAATGACAGGGTTGGACTGGGGAACCACTAAGGTTTCTTTCAAATCTGTATCTATAATCATGTGATCATGGGTCCTTGAAGTCATGAAATTATTCTTTATATTAGGCAAATAGTGCCTAATATAATATCCTGCTCATAGCAGGTGAAAATCGTTTACCCTCCCTCGGTAAACTGAGAGGATTGTACTGGATGGCCTCTGAGGTCCATTTTAGCTTTCTGTGATCCCACAATCCATCAATATGTATTTGTTACCAGGCCTGGAGTCAGGAGGACCTGAGTTCAAAGTTGGCCTCAGACATTTACTAGTTCCATGACCCTGGGCAAGTCACTTAATCTTGTTTACCTCAGTTTCCTCATCCATACAGTGAACTGGAGAAGGAAATGTCAAACTGCTCCAGTATCTTTGCTAGGAAAACCCTAAATGAGGTCTCAAAGAGTCAGATACAACTAGTTGACCAAAAAAAAAAAAAGAACCCAACTCAAAAAACCTAACCAAGTTGACTTCATCAGATATGTCATATAATGCAAAGAACACCTCCATTCATTTTAGCTTTGTGATGCAAATATCCTGAAATATGATTTATAAATGTGACCAGATCTACCACTAAGTAAAGTGCAGGACTGACTAGTTATCTAGAGTTTCTTCCCTATGTAAATCTATGATCTTATGATCTGTGACAGGAATGACTCGGGCCAGGGTCCAAAGGAGGGAAAAGGTAAAATACAAGTATGACTGCATAGTGGTGAGACCTGTGACAGATCACACCCAAGTGTCAGTTTCACTACTTAATCATCTGGATGTGCCTTTCATCTTGGATTAACCAGATTATATGTCTTGGCTTAACCAGCCTCATATTCAATCTGAATTCATTTGTAATAGATTAATTTTCGGTGATACCTCAGGTGACCATGGGAAAGATATTTCTCTGAGTCTCAGTTTCCTCCTTCCCAATAATAATAATACCTGTACACCTTACCTCACAGGGTTGTTGTAAGGCTTAAATAAGATAATGGGTGTAAACTTTTTTTTTTTGCAAATTTTAAGATGCCATTTAAATATCAGTTTAATTCTTTTATTACTTCTTTGGCTCCAGGAATAGGCAGATATAAAAGATGGGATTATAACATTATGCAAATCATTCTTAAGATCATCCTATACACGGATACCTCCATGTTTCTCATTTTTCTATAGTTTGCTCAGAATTTCCTATTTTATGAATTTCATGTATATGTGTTCTTCAAGGCATTTGCATATTCTAGTAAATTTCTTGGTGCAGGTGTACAGAAGTGACTATAATCTGTTGTGATCATGCCTCAGAAATCCTCACCCAGCTAAGCAGATAAAAAGGACAAATTAAAAGTGAGCCATATAGGCAGCAGTTCAGCCTTGCATAATGCCCACATTCAGGATTTTTTCTGCAGGAAGGGTCCTGCCAGGAACTTGATTGCAATGTCTCGCCTACTTACTCACTCTCCCTCCAGCATCAGCTGATGGAGAAAGAAAATTGCAACTTATTTCTTCTATCTCAGGCATAATATTGATATTTTAACTTATATCTATCTTTCCTCTCCCTCTCCACCCCATACCTAAACTGGAAGGATTTTTAAAAAAATAAATCAAGGTCCCAGAAACTCATGATTGCTTTGAGCCTTTCTGTTATCTTGAGGAAAAAAACCGTACAAAACAGAAAACGTTTCTATTTCATTTTTGCTGCTTCTTCAAATTTGGATCCTAGGTCTGTTTGCTCATTTTATAGGAGGAGATCCTAGGTCCTGGGTTATAGCTCTTCTACTGTACTGCCTGGTACATAGTAAGATCTTAATTAATGTTATTGAATTGACTGCCTTTGCAACCTTAACCTTTATGGGCAGCAGTTTCTTCATCTAAATGAAGGGGGGAGGGTGGCCAAAGGGACCTGGTCCCTTTCAGCTCTAATCCTGTGATTCTCTAGGAGAAAGAAGTTTGGGTGTTTTGTTTGGGTTTTTTTTTAACTGATTATCTGTTAAATCACTCTAGGGCCAAAAATGCATTATTTTGGAATATGGTAATTACAGTTAGGACAATTCTAGATAGTCATACATTATATACAAGGGTTTTCTTTCTTTTCTTGCTAAACTACCAAATATATGTATGCATATATTATAATATTAACCCTAAGCCTTAACCTAATCTTAACCCTAACCCCTAGCATGTTGGGTGGACCTTTGTAGCAAATTTATGAGAAGAGAGTTGAGCAGGGTGGGCAGGCATGAATGGGTTGAGATTTGCACCTCACTAGAGGCAGATCACGGAACCCATTTGAGTATTTGGGCATTATAGCACCTTTCTGTGATGGTCAACTACACTCACTTGCTGTCTCCTGAGATTGTGGACGTTGGATGTGGGATAATTTTTGCCCGGATTGGTAGGTCCAAAGATAGGAAGGCGCTTGAAGCCCTTCAGTAGCTGTGGAGGTCATTAGCCCCTCTACATTATTACTGTACTGTTCTACTGTTCTGTTCTTTCAAGCCTGGAAGGTGGGAGAAAATGCTGAAAAGACCTCAGGAATGGGCATAGTCCTCTCTGTTAATTAATACGGTACAGTGATCATTGTTAAGAGGTTAAGAAACAAGAAAAGAGAGAAAGAGGGGGTTCAGCATAGCTTGGAGCAAACATTTAAATCACCTTCTTCACAGTACACTTTGCAAAAATCCCTTCTCCCACTCCATCTCGGGAAACGTCGCCCACTGTGTAGTACTACGGGCTTCCTGGGCTAGAGTTAAGCCCACGAGTTTAGAAGGAAACATTTTCCCTCCAACAATACAGTTGGAGAAAATTAACATCAGAGTTGTTGTTGTTGTTATTGTTGTTGTTTTTAAATTTTAAATCGTGCGCCTCGCACTCTAAACCTTTGTGCTTGGCACTGGAAGTTGTAGATAAGATTTTGGCTCCTAGACTCATTTTTCTCCTCCTCCTCAGATGACTGAACTGCCAGAGAACTGCAGTGGTCAGTTTCGGATTCCGGTTAGAGGCTGAGCCCAGAACAGGTCTCTATCCACATCCTCCCGGACCAATTGTCTAAGGGAGCACCTGCCAGGTGGAGGCACCCGCCCCACAAAAGCGGCCGCACCAATTGCTAATTAGCAGGTGGTGCTGGGCAGGGCAAATGGCTTCACAAAGCACCCTGGCTATGCAGTACTAGTTCTGAAAACACCTTCGGCGTCCAGACCACTTCCCAGCAGAGGAAAGGTGAAGTCGGCCCAAGGAGCAGACTGGCAGTGAGAGGGGAGGTGTCTACTTGTTACCTCCTCCAGGACTGGGAGTGCGCCCGTCTAGGGAGAGGGACCCGAGTTGGGGGCTTGCAGGGGTTAGAACTAGGCGGGAGCGCCTGAGGAAGAGAGAGGGGGAGAGCGAAAGAGAAGGAGAGGGAGAGGGAGGGAAGCCGAGGAGGGGCGTGGCCGGCGCGGCAGGGGGAGGGCGCTGGGAGGAGGGGCTGCTCTCCTTTGCTATCCTCTCCTCTCCCGGCTCCCTGCTCTGGGGGCTTCGGTTTATTTGCCGCGCTGGGTGCATTTAGACTAGAGGAGGAACGCGCAGCTGAGCTCCGACCCCGGAGCAGCTACAGGATGACCAGGGCTCGAGGTGCCTGGGATTTTCTCTGTCTTCTGATCCTGCTAAGCTTCCAGACAGGTGGGTAAACTGCTACCTACACACCTTCTTGCCCACTCTTTATTTTTCCTGGGAATGTTATCAACCTTGCAAAGCTTTTGCTCCGGGGGTGGTGTCTGAAGGTCCTTCCAGTTCTCGTGCGGCCCCAGTCCGGAGGGCTTTGGAGGGGGTAGACACATGAGACTTCCCTTTGGGTTTCCCTAGCCTTTTACTTGCGCTTAGGAGTGTGTGTACCTGCTCCCTTGTGCAGAAACAAAGCGTTTTGGCCGGGTGGAGCTGAGAGAGAGCAACTGTGAGTGAGTCTGGGAAAGAGGGGGCTTTGGGGATGGGCTTGGGGGTATGGATGCGGGTGTGCCTTTGGATTTCTTTTGTGTTGAGCTAGTGGGTGCGGAGGGCCAGGGGATGGGTCGTGAAACCAGAGCTCTCCACGTTGGAAGGCGTTCGGCTGTAGCTTCCTTTTGTTGAAAGTTGTCTGCGGCTGGCGCGCCCGCGACGAGCAGGTTCTGGGCTCTACGGAAAGGGAAAGTTTGCCATCCTGGCTCTTTTCTAGGCTGCAGCCGCTTCTGGCTGCAGTGCAAAGCCGGGGGCACCCTTTGTGCTCCTGGGAGCACGGGTATGGAAAGATAGGGGACAGAGCCCTTCGGTCCTTGCAGGCTCCTACCGAGGTGGCCGGCGTACAGTCGGACTGTCCCCCTCTTCTGGCCTTTGGAAATGAGTTGCACATTCATATTGTGTTTTACATTGGGAACCCGTAGAATGCTGGTTTGGTGCTAAACATCCCGCGGCCAGAGGTGTCCATAAGGACAGCCCTAGTGCTGCTGCTCTCTTCCAAAGGGTGCAGACCTAAAAAAAATAATAATCCCTAGTGACCTCTTGCCCCTTGCTGGGGTGGCTGCGAGGCTCATTCATCTCTCCCGCCTTTCCTCGCTTCCAGGCGCTGTGGGAGGGGGCGACTGGGTCTTGCGCTTGGCCTCCCGCGCCGGAGGAGGAAAGGGCTGCGCGATTTAACCGGTGCGCTCTCTTAACTTAAAGCGGCGCGCGCTCCCAGTGGAAGAATGAGGGACCGGCGCAGGGTTCCGGTAGGAACCTGCACTGCAGCCTTTGCCTTCTCGGCCCCCTTAATACTTAGGGTATTTAGGAATTCCCCAAAGAGCGCTTTAGGGAAACCGGCGCGCAGCTTCAGGAGCAAGTGGGATAGTATGAGAAGGTGCAAAAAGCACATCTTTATTTAGTACTAAAGCGGATTCTGGGAAAGTTGAGGATTAAGCCTGCCGAAGCACAGACAGGCAGCTATTTGGAACTTGGAGAGATCACTGATCCATTGATATTGCAAATATTTATGGAGTGCCTGTTAATCTTAACTATCCTCTCCCTTCTCCCCCCTCACTCCCCAATTTGTTGGCCGTCTGGTGATAAATCGTCTCTTGCACCCCAGTCCTTAAGAATGTCTTTTTAAAAACTGCTTTTTTAAAAAACAACTCTATGACTTCCTTCTTCTAACAAAGAAGGTAATAGTTAAGTAATATATATTGACCATTCCTGACCATGATAAATGAGGCATTCTTCACTTATATTTTACCACCTCTATGGAGAGGGGGGAGTTTTTCTTCCTTTCCCTTTCTGCAGCCTGAAAGATGAAAAAAAGAGCTAATCGTGTGCATTAGTGTGTGAGGGTGAATGGAAAGCTTTGCTGCCCCCTCCGATCTGACTGAGGTCAGGAAAGGGAATTTTGCAATTCACTATTGTGGGAATGAATGAAAACACTAGAGGCACTGGGTCGGAGTTTCCCTGTAACGTGTAAAAGCTTAGCATGCCTGCTCAGATGTTTGTTTTTCGGCATTGTAAAGCTTTTCCTGTGGGGGAGGAGAGGTCTCGCTCTGGACTGTTGTCCTCATCTGGACTCAGATAGAAACTCGGAATTCGGTTCCCTGACTCATTCAGAGCATCTAGCATTAAGACGTTCAGTCGTCGGTGGCCCTTGGAGAGGATAGGGAGATCTGAGTAGAGCTTTACTGACAGCCAGCCAAGCCAGAACAGTATCTATTTTGGGTCCTCAGTGAAGTCAGTTTCCCTTCCTGCTTAATACTGTGCCTCTTCCAATATAATTTTTTTGCATAGCGAATTTTTTTTCCAGTCTCTCTTCATCACTTGGACTAAGTACTAATCATGTCCTCTGATACACCTCTGATGTATACACTGTGCCCCCCCCCCCATTTTTTACCTGGTGTCTCAAACTCCCACTTTATCTACTCTAGCCCCTCTGCCTTAAGGGGCAGGTCTATATCTATTCACTGCCGGCATTCTTTCCTTTAGGTTTTCTTGGCTCTATGACTTTGTAAGAATTAGGATAGGAGTCTCTCTCTCTCTCTCTCTCTCTCTCTCTCTCTCTCTCTCTCTCTCTCTCTCTCTCTCTCTCTCTCTCTGTGTGTGTGTGTGTGTGTGTCTGTTTGGATTGATGCAGCTTTCTCCCTGAATTAATGTCAGAAGCAGGATGAAACTGCCGGGAGCAGTGAATCATAAGTCCCTCTTCCTGCGGCTGGTGTGGTGTTGGGCCAGAACCATCCAGAGGACAGAAGATATTCTGGGACTGCTGAAAACATGAGGATGTGAAAAAGGAATGCCATTTACCTAGCCCCATTCTAGAGCTCTCTCTCTTCCCCTTTATTTTCCATAGATTCTCTTGCATTCCACTTGGAATGTAAGCTTCTTGAGGTCAGGGGCTTTTTTGTGGGTTAAGCCCAGCTCTGTTCCTTGTACATGCTAGGCCCTCAAATGCTTGTTGGATTAGATCTGGATATAGTGTTTATTATATTTAAACGAAAGTCTACCTTTGTCCTAAAGTTTCTTTTTGCCCAGTTTTGTATCTGTGCCTAACAATTCCCAAAACAGAAAACGCCAGGGTTTCTTAGAAGGTTTCTTAGAAATTTAAGCAAAACAAGCTAGTTCTTAACTAATTCTTGGGGTGTACCCACTTTTAAGACAAAACAGCCAATTTGCATTCCAAAAAGAGCCTCTGTTTCTGAAAAGGATCCCTGAAGGGAGTCTTTTAAATAGCATTTTCCCTAGTGCATTTAAGTGATTTATAACAGGTGGGTGGAGGAAAAGGCTTTGGGTTCAATTGTAGCCAAAATGCAGATGAAGCACTCGGAAATAATAATGGAAACCTTGGAAAGAATGATTTCAGTTTTGCACTAGAATTTTTTGAAAATTTAGTATAGAGGAGCATGCAGGAAGTCCTGGGTTCCAGTCCTATCTCTGACACTTAACTCTCAAAGGCTGTTTCAGAGAACTTTGCTTACCCACATTGGTAGAACTTCTGAGCCAGAAGCTCCTTCTACACTGAGAAACCACAAGTCATCTGAGGCAGCAAGATGGCAAAGTGGATAGAATGCTGAACTTGGAGTAGGGAAGATCTGGGTTCAAATCTTTCCTTGCTAGCCATCCAATCTCTTTCAGCCTCAGTTTCCTCATCTCTAAAATGGATATTTCGAAGAGTAAATGAGATAACATGTAAAGCCCTTTAAACACAAATGCTAACTTGATATTAGCTACCCCCTTCCCCTCACTTAAAAAAATGATTGTGCTATTTAAGGATCTGGGCTATTCTTTTTCTTGTAATGCTCGTAGAGATATATTCCTAGAAATTTTTAAAGAACAAAAAAAAAAAATCAAAGCACTGCTAATATCTGATGCCAAACAACAGGGGACCTTTACTAACTTGTTGAAGGTTATAAGATATGATAGATGGGAAAGGGTTAATGGGGGGGGAGGAATTGTCAGTTGTAGCCTTCCTTCTCTGAAAGCTAATTCTCATGAGAGCTGCTATCATGTATTCTGTGCTTCCCGTCTAAACACCCATATATACTTAGAGATGTTGTTGTGAGGGATTATTTTTTGTTCATTGCAGTTAGAAATTTCTTTCAGGATTTTGACTCATTTCCTCAAGTCTCTTCCAGCTGATTAAAGGACACAAGGAAATGAGCTCTGATATCCTGAAAAGAATTCTCACCACTGGCTTATAGAACTAGGCTTCAGTTGTGAAAAAAGCTGCAGGAATGGTGGATGAGACATTGGTTTCTTTGCTTTTCTTGATCCTTCTGAGAGGAGCTAAGATTTCTTCAGCATTCCTCAATTTTTAGGATTTATTGATTGAAAATTGGTGACTGACTTTTTGTATTCATAGGATAATTGATTTATATAGCCAGAAGGGGCCTCTAAGGCCATCTAGTCCAACACCCCCATTATACTAAGATTGGGAAACTGAGGCTGAGAAGTATTAGTACCTTGCCCAAAGTCAAACAGACACTGCATTGCAAAGTCTGGATTTTAATCTAGGTCCTTCTGATTCTAAATTTAGCATTCTTTCCACTGTTCCAAGTTCTTTTTAACTACTTAAAAAAATGAGATTTAAAGGAAGATGAGCTATTTTATAATGCAGATCCATTTCAAATATGTTCTCAGATGGTTTAAAAATGTAACTATGGTTTAAATGGTTTTAATGGCTAACACCAGAAATCTTGGCAGAGGAATGGGAGGGAAAGACTGGAAAGGAGTCTTGAAAGGTGAAACCATATTGATAAGTAAGTGAAGCTGGCAAGTAGATGATTGTCTTCAAACTTTTTCATAAGCAATATGGCATATATTTACAAAGTACTTAGATTTAGAGCTGGAACCAGACCTTAGAGGTAATTTAGTTCAGTCTTTTCATTTTGTAGATTAGCTAATACCCAAGGAAACTTGCCCAAGCATCACATAGGGAAGATGGCAGAGCTTTTGCCTCAGATTCAGTTTTCTTTCTATGAAAATGATCAGATTTCTTTTCTTTCATAACTAGTAGGCACGCAAAGATGGTTCAGTGAGTGGATAGGTCTGGAGTTAGGAAGGTCTAAGTTCAAATGTGGCCTTAGACACTTACTAGCTATGTGACCCTGGGCAAGTGACTTATCACCCTATTTGCTTCAGTTCCTCATCTGTAAAATGTGGATGTGCTGGAAAAGGAAATGACAATCCACTCCAGTATC